AGTGGCAGGGAACATTCATGGGCACTAGACCATCTGTGCTGTTTAACTGCTAAAATGGCCATTTCCAATGCACAGTTCAAATATTTGGGAAGATCAAAAAATGATGGACATGCCCCATGCCAAGGCAGCCTCGATATAAGAGGACACAGAGTCATGGAATAAGTGAGGTTTGAGGGAGCTCCAGAGGTTTCCTGCAGGGGCAATGGCAGAGTTAGATCAGATTGCTCAGGGCACTGTCCAGTTGAGTTTTAAAAATCTCAAAAGGTGGCAATGCCACAGGCTCTGTGGGTGTCTCTTCCTGTGGTTAATCACTTTTGTTCCGCAAATATCCACGGCAACTTTCCCTTAGTGTGAGGTTTGCCCACAGCCTCCTGTCCTTTCACTGTGCGCCTCCTAGAAGAGTCTGGCTTTTGTCTCTATAACCCACCCTTTCCAGCTCTGTTTAATATGATTCTATAATTGAGTTAAATGCATTCTAGTTAAAAACATACTGGAAGGGGGAAACAGTCCAGTGCTTGCAGTTTTGAGACTGTTAAAAAACCTGAGAGTAAAACTTGCTAAAAATATGTTAATTCTCCAAGCTGTGAAAAGATAAATAAGAAATCAGAAGCAGGGAAAAGGAAATAAGGCTTTATGATACTATTTATGCATTTTTAATAAAGTATATTGAAGGAAATTTTTATAAAAGATTTTTAATGTGAGTGTAGATACTATTCTAAAGTTTTATTCAAGAGTACATACAGCTTCAGTAACAACAGAGGGAAAAAAAAGAACTAGTTGGAGATCGTGTTTGGTCAAGTCTATACACGTCCTTCAGTGCTCTGGGACTTTTTAGCTTTTATGAAGTATATCAAGGTAGAATTTTGTTATACAAAGTCAGCATTGTAGACTGGCCAACAGAATTTCAGTTGATTTGGGTTTTGTTGCATTTAGTTTTCACATTACTACTTTCACAATCAAAATGTAGGAGATTCTGCCCCAAAAATCCATCCCTGCCAAAACTATCTGGTATATAGCACTTGTGTGAGCAATTTGGTCAAGAACTGGGGCAAAACAAGAAACATTGAAGGCTAAAGCTGACTGCTGCGTTTTTAGCAGCAAAGTTACAGAAAATGGAAGGTAAGATTTAATTTGAAGCAGATTTGCTTTTAAGTAAAGCTCTACTAAATCCTAAAAACATACTGGGAATGTGCCAGATGAAAATGCAGAGTAATTAAAATGGAAATTTAGGCGTTCTGGCTTGCTCCCCACAGACGAAATGTTCTGGAGGGGCTGGTACCCTCTTTGCTGTTCTGAGCAGCCCTCATGCAGCATCCCAAGCAATGACATCTAATTGAAGCTCCTTGTTTCCATAGCCTCCCTCTGTTGTAATTGGGAAAGAGAAGCTGCCCTGCAGGTGGCTCTGGCAGGAACCTACTGTAGATGTGCTGAGCTTCCTTATGGCTAGCGAGGAGCCTAAAAGAGGGGTTTAGCAACTTCATGACAGCTGGGTCGTCTGCACAACTTCCCTTCTTGTAAACTCTTCCGTGTTGACCGCTGTCTACAAAATAGTCCTTCTGGAGGCAGGTGTCTGCTTCCCAAGCTCTGCTTTTCTCCTTGTCACAGCTTGCTGTCTCCTCAACTCATTTAATGCTAACTCTTTTTTTTTTTTATCTTTCCACGTGCTTTTATCATTGTTTGTGCAAAAATCTTCTGTACAGCTTGTGCTTAATAGAACAGTCTTCTTATATCTCTCCACTTCACTGATTCTCCATCTGTTCTCCATCCAAATCAAAGCTGATAATTTACCCTCTGCTTTGTATAAATCTCTTCAACACTTCTTCCAGTGCTTTTATTACTTTCAATTTTAACTTTCCATCTCTGTGTTAGATACTATGTAAAATACTTATGCACTGCATAGAACCCCTAAATCATTACCTGAAAACAAGTATTTTTTCTTTCAAGATATGCCCATTTTTAACACATATTGTCACAAGGAGTGTATATGCACATGATAGTGTGTTCAAAAAGGGAGAAGTCTTCTTAACAATAAAACTGTAGTTGTTTTTTTTTCTAGGCCTTCTTACACCATTGTATGTGTCCAGCAAGATGATCTGGGGTCCTCAGTAATTACTAGAATAATTGCTGTGAGTTAAATCAGATGAATTCCTTCCTAGAATTAATAACCTTTGCATTGTACAGCAGAGGCAAGCCATTTTGCCAAAATATAACAAACCCAAAAGTCCTCTGGGTATCATGGAACTCAGTACTTTATTTTACAGCCCCTTATTTCCTGAAACTAGTCATTTTGTCACCTGATAATTTATTTTCTTCTCTTTATCTCCAGAAAATCAAACCAAACTTTGATAGCCATTCAGGCATAAAAATTTCTTTCACTTCTGAACGTCTCAAAATTCAGAGTATTTTCTAGAAAATTAATACAGGACCATTTTAAATGATAGTGTGACAGTCTGCCAATAAAATGTATAGCGATAATTATAATTTTTGAGTAGGCATCTTTGATGTGCATACTAGTGGCTATCTGCTAGCCAAGATGTTCACTTTCACAGAATTACCCTTTCAGTTTTTGCAATGGCACAAAGATACCAAGATGACAAAAGATGGAATATATGAAATATTCCACTAGCGACAAGGAAGTCTTTAAGAATAATCTCTACCATGACCTGCACCGCACAGAGAAGTGTCCTGGCCTGTTCCTGAGCTCATAGGTTTGAGCCTGTTTCTCTTCATGAGTTCTTCTGTTAGTTCTGCCTAAGAATTCCTTTAATGTATGTCCTCCCATCATTTCTAGCTATTTATAATTAGCTTTTATTTTACTTGACCTAATGCATAAATATTTTAAATATCAGATACTGCCGTAAGACACAAGGATGTTGTTCAAACATATGGGTTAGATTAGACAAATCTTCTGCTTCAAAATGGCTTAGGTCATGTTATATGTCTGGTGACGTCCTCCCTTACCTTCTACTCGGTCTGTGAACCTCTATATTACCCCTTCAGTTTTAATTATTTGATATAAATACATTTTGAACAGAATTTTAATATAAAGTAGCAGGTAATTCAGTTAACTGAGTGGTTAAAAGTAAGATGTGTTAATATGGAAAAGCTCACGTGTTGGGCTTTGATTGGTTAGTTGGATTTTTTTTTTTCAGACTGGAAGCCTCCTCTTGTCCCCTTAAAATGATCTTTGCAAAAAGACAAGTATACAATATAACCAGTACCTGAGGTTGTAGGCAATATAGAATCATGATTTCTTTGTCTCTGGCAAAATGTTTGCAGGATAAGGACATTACTTACCTATATCAGGAATTGAAACTTTTCCTCCAGAGGTTTCTGGATGGATCCCAGGGATGATGTTAGCGAAGAACATCCAAAACCCATGAAGTGCTTTTGATCATAGATACATCATCTCTATCATGGTTTGGTAAAAGAGAAGTGTTTTCAGTATAGATTTTAATATATCTGAGCTCTATAAACAGTTTTGCCATTGTCCTCAGGGAAGAAAACAACTCTGCAGCAGTATTCACAGGAACCAAAATGCAAACCATGAAAAATAATAATTTTAATAGTAGATTAAATAAGTCCCATCACTTTATCTTTACATGGCTGTACAGGATGAAGGAAACCTGCCTTACCATGTTTTCTTTTCAGGCCTATCCAGCAGTCTGGACTGTCAGGCCTCAAACATGTGGCTGCTCATTACACTTGCCCCAACCCTTTGCACTTACAGAGGAAAAGTCTGGAGTTCATTCAGTTCTTTTCTTATGTGCCTGCTTTTGTCACCACAGTGACGATGGTTTTATCTCCATGAATGTGTCTGTCTGCTTCTCACATGGGTTTGTACTACCCCTTGTCTCTGAAGATGAGTTTTATCTAAGAGCAAATGTCTGTATTTCACAGACATTTTCACATATAAACTATGCATTTCTGAAAGCACTGTATGTTTCCATGGGATCCACTGGAATAGCAGAGAAAGCCCGAAAGGGGTTTTTCTTTTTTATCCCTCCTAGTTTTTTCTTAATAAATGCACTTCAGTCCCATTTTCTTTGACCTTTGTGTAGCCCCTACACCTGCACTTGCTAGATGTGCTGTCACTGCATAATTTTTAGCATAATCTTGTGCCTTCAAGAACATCCTGCCCGCAGTTAAAGCACAGCCTAGTCTCAGCGCTCCCACCCCCTGATAACCATTAATAGCAACAGATAAACATCAGTCTGGGTCAGATCCTTCCAAAGAAACTGTGCGGGCTCAGCCGAGCCTAGAATCTAGCTACTGTGTAACCGTGCCACGGATTTGACAGTTAAAATACATGGAAAGTACTGAAATCAGCTGCCTGGTCATTCAGCTGCTGACACTGCAGAAGGTCTCTTTGTTGTGAAGGTTGCTGGCATCCCTCGTTCCGAAATTATGTCACTCGACTGGGTGGCCGCATGGAGCTGCTCTTTTGGTAGGAGTGACCTCCGCAGACTTGTGCACTGTCACTTCCATCCCGTATGAGGATCTCCTGTGTCGCTTTGAAAATTAAGGGCACAAAGCCGTCGCTGTCTGCCGTGAGCACAATCCACGAGGAGCCTGTGCCAAGTAAGCATAAAAACAGGAAAAAAAAAAAAAAAAGAGGAATGAGTGCCCTGCACTGGTTATATAAAATGTACAAGCTCGTTTTAAGAAGTCATCCAGCCCAGGTGCAGAGCTGGCTTTCTTGTTGTGCACTAAAGCCTTATTACCTTAATGGCATTAAGGGCAGGCAATCCACGCTAAACACACCTTGGTGTAAATGCAAAGGGAAACGAAAGGAAAGGGCTTGAAAGGACTTGAGGTGTTTAGGCCATTGCTTAAGTTATGTTGAGTATCAAGGTGTAGTTTTGGAGTTAGTAAAATGGCTGTGCCAAGTTCGTTCTTGGGAGAAACAGGGTTATCATCCCCTTCACTGGCAATCCAGGATTGTTCAGGAGCTTTTCAAGCTCACCTGACAAATGGAAAAAAAAAAGTTGTACTTCCAAGTTGATTTACAGAAGAAGAGAGATTGGGATATTTTTCTTCTTTTTTATAGATAAGCCACTAAAAGTTTTGAAAAAGAACATGGAAGAAGCAAATGGAGAAGGCCCCTCAAACCCCTCCTTAATTTTTGCCAGTCATAACAAAATATTTTCCTGGACAAAGTAAATCTCCCCTCCTTATACAACTAACAAAGCACTTTTACAAGCTGCTGCATGTTGCCATGTCACCCATTACATCATAAGAAGCTTGACATTCTAAACCATGGATCTTTAATCTCCTACCCTTAATACTTTCTTTCTAAATCTGGACAGATTTCAGATTCGCAGACAGAAAGCCTGGAAGTGGAAATTCTGCTGCCCAAATCAGTGGAATTACTTTTTTGGTCGCATCAGTAAAACATGTTCTTCTGCCACACTTTTGGTACTTTTATTGCCATCTATTTAAATGGGAGAAATTTTATGCATAGTTGGTGATACCAGCTTTGAAGTTTATCGTATAGAATATTGCAATGGTGGAAAACCCTTGAGCAGACTGTAATGCCCTTCTCAGTGCACAATCATTACAGATGACTGCAGAAAACAGAGACTTCCCACTGTGTAGGAATATTAGGGCTTTATATGACAGGCTATATTTAGTACAGGTAATGGTATTACAGTCCTGGACTTAAAGCACACATGTGATCAGGCCAAGTTCATTGCTCATATAACTGACGGTTTTAATAGCCTTGCCTTAGCTATGAATTTGGCATATAGTTGTAGACTATTTTTTTCAACATATTCAAGCTGAAGTGTATATTCAAAGGAAAAAAAAATGCTAACCATTGCAATGTAAGCACATTGTTCATTACCTCCCCTTTAATTATATAGCATTAGGGGATGGGAGAGATATTTTTAACCATTGAATTTAATATTCACGCCTTGTGGCAAAGGAAAGATTTAGGAATATAAACCTCTACTGAGCAGAACTGAATGAAGAGCTACATAATTCCCTCTGCCCGGAATCTGATGATTTTGCACAGTTGTAGCAGGACTCCTGAGTCAGTTGTTTCTTTTGCTGTCAACAAAGAGACTCTGTTCTGAACAGGCTGGCAGCACATTCATCAGAAAGGGCACAAGTTAGGGTTATTCCTAGACAATGTGTTTTTAATATCTCTGAAGTCCAGTGCACAAAACCGAAGGGCAATGTTCTGCTAACTAAATAGCCCCTTCATAGGGCTGAAAATAGTCTTTCTCAGGCTCCTTCATCATACTGAATTCTAACCCCCTTTTTCATTGTAGGCATTTATATTTCCTAAATCAAGAACTGGAAGACAGTGGTCTCAGCAAGAGCAAGGCATAAATAGAGTAAGAATGGCAGAAGAAAGAATATGTATAAGAAAATACATATTTTCCCTCTCCCTTTCCCACTGTCCCTGTTGCCAGCATCTGTAATGTCCCAAGCCTGACTTCTTTTTCCACCAAAAATCTTGTTGTATAGCAATTTGCTATGTAACCATCTTTACTTGGTAAATTATAGCTTAGGTTATCACAGTCTTTTCATTTTGATTTCACCAAAAGTTGAATTCATTCCTCATAAGACAGAGGGTACCAATTAAGCCAATGTGTCCCTCTCTGCCTGTCAGGGCTAAGACAAGGGGAAGGCAGTGAGGGATTTATGGACCTTTCGGGCTGGAAAATATGCAAGAAGATCATAATTAGAATGAAGGAATGCATACCATAAAATCGTAATATCCTTAGACTGTGATGAGAAGAGCTATCTGAAGCACGATAGAGAAATATGATTGAGAAGCAACAGTCTCTGTGTTTGCTGAGGGGTGAGTACATGTGGGCAGACAGGGACAAGGCAGTTCAGAGACCAGTCTGGGGCTAGAATTTCCCTGGCTGCTTTCATTTTTGCAAGTACAGCAGTGGTGGGTGGCAGATATGTGAGACTGGCAAATTAGAACATTGCGCGTCGTTGTTTATCTTAATCTAATCCGAAATATGATGTGACGCATGGATACCATATTCTGAGGATGAGTTTTTCTCCAGCCTACTCCTTGTTGTCACGTGTGGGACGTGCTTGTAAAGATGGGTAAGGCAAAATGCCAAAAGGTCTCATAAGAAACGATTTCTATTTCCAGATACCACAGGGTACTCAGTAGAGACAGCTAACAGATTACTCTGGTAATAGGGAGTTCTGCAATTTCTTAACATTTAAGTGATTTCAAAAGACACTTGGCCATATTTCGGACAAAGAAAACCAAGTAGTTATCAAGAAAAGTTAGATTTCTCCATTTGCTACACCAAAGAGTAATTACTCCACTGCAAATTACTCCAATGTCATTCTAAAAATCTTGCATGAAAGCCATACCAGAAATAAAAAGACCATACCGTGTTTCATTTCGATAATGGGCAGATCAAAAAGCTTCTGGACTAAACTCAGGTGGATCTTGCCATCACAGAGGAGAACAGCTTTTGTTTCTTCAGCGACTGCTCCATTTGAAAAACATTTCTGCAAAAGCATATATGTAAAAGAAAAGGTCTTGTTAAAGACTTGCATGTTTACTTCAGTTCCTTTAACCCTCCTTCGGCTTTTATGCCTTTCAGGTCTTTACTCACTTTGGGTTTTTTTTCTTTCTGTTTTTACTAGAATTTATAAACAGCACCGTGACTCAGTGCAACTCCAGGCACAGTATCCTAGTCCCACATGAAGAGGAATGGGGCTTTTTATTCCCGTTTGGAGCTCAGCACTGCATGAGCCCCATGAGACTGGGGTAAGCCCCACGCGACTGGGGGACTGTAGTGCAAGGCTCTAAAGCTGCTCTAACAAGGTAGCTGGGGAATCCTATGGATTTCTTTGAGGGAGAGGGAGTTGCACAGACTTACTGCCCTGGAGGTCGCCCTGACATTAACAACCTCCCCCATACAACCTTTTGAATGTAAAGCTGACAGACTCATCCTTCATGACATATAGCTGGCCTTGAGAATTAGCACCTCAAAGATCCATCACCCTGATGACCGCAAAGTGCAAAGACCACAAAATAATTTTTATTAGGAATCGAGTTCATGTGGTTGTGGAATGGCTACAGATGTGCATCTGCAGTTTGTTATCCACTGGCCTTTGAAGGTGAGTTTTGGCATTAGGACTTTCCCAGTGACTCAGTGCCACCTTTAAATATATGTGAAATGAGCATTTTCTTCTAAATCATGTTGCTGTATTTTTGTCCTGGAAAGCTCATGTTGTTCTTTCCCTTCCATACTTTCCGCCTGTTTAGTTCCTATGTTTTTTTTTTGCTTTTGACATCACTTCTTTTTGTAATATCTCCAGATAAAACATATTTGCTAATTTAATTAACAGACTATGTATCCAATTCCATAGACAATGCAATTTTGTACATTCAGAATGGACCCAGTTAACATTTTAGACCGAGTGGAATAGAAGTCATCCCAGCTCCCATTTTGGTCCTTCCTTTTCTCTGTTTACTGGGTACCCCTGGATATCTCTTTCTAACATATACGTTGTTATTGAGTCGATTCACACTGCATCTTCTATTTCTGTGCTCAATAAGCTATTCTACAAGTTCATTAACCTTTGGCTAACTACATGTCTCTTAATCTCTTTTAATACTCCTCTTTATTTCTAATAATGCTACCTTTATGGCTCTTGTCAACCCCTCAGTGAACATGCAGCACCCTTTCTAAACCAAATAATCACTTTTATTTTTTCCATACATTGAATGTAAGCTCATTGAATGTAACCACATGGGATTCTCTGAGTCAGAATGTCTACCAACTGTTGTGAAAGTAATTTTCTGTATTCTAAATTCGCTATGCAGATAAAGTCCATAGCTGATAATTATTCAATTACGTATTATGATAGTTTTAAGATATAAGGCCATAAAAAGAGCTCACAATTAAAAACTTCACCCAACTTCAGAGGTTTTCTCATTATTTCCTTGTTCAAAACAGCCAGAAAATTGTCACTGTGTAATAAAGAGAAATATCTAAGGAATGCATCAGAGAAATATCATATTCTTAATCATAAATCTATAGTAACTTTTATAAGTTGTAGCTTACCAGAGTTTTGGGTTTCTTTTCGGTCTTTTCAAATTATATAGTGCTACTCTGCTGAACATAAGTACACTTAAAACTCAATGGGTTGAATTTTCAGCAATGGGCATGTGCTTTGCATTTACATTCCAAAGATGCAATTTGCCTGTACAAATATCAGTGCATATATTTTTTGTTGCTGCTTATTAATAAATCTCACAACTGCTTCATTTTTCTTGAATTCAGGTTGAAATAACAGGGTTTACTCAAAAAAATCCACCTCTGTTAATGAGTTATAAACCATGGTCGACTGTAACCGAGACAGGCACATTGATTGCCTTGACTGGAAAGGTTCATTGTTTTTTTTTCGTATAGATTTGCTTCAGTCCCCCAAAATCTGGGGAAAAAAAAGCAATCAAACTGTGCCTCTATTGATTTCAAATCAGTCAAGTGGGAATATATTTTAAGAATGCATGTTCTAGTATGTTTTCTACTTAGCCATGCAATTTATTATCATAACTGCCATTAGAAGGAAAACAATTTTTGTGTTATTATACAAAATTATGTGGTATCTCTTTTTTATCCTAACATATGATTTTACAGGTTTTCAAGTACAAACCCCAGAGCTCCAATCTCAGAGTTGTTCATCTTTCAGCATATCTGAGTATTCATATCAAATCATTCTCCCAGTTTATAATGATAAAATTGATCATCTTTGCCTTTTATTTTTGTATGCTGGCAAATTCTGTCAAGTCAAGAATATTTCTCTGTTTTAATCTTATGTTTTGCCTGGTTTTGTTGAATGATTAGATGATGTTAACATGCCTTCTCTTTGAAGAATATATTTGCATCGTATCATAATATTAACTGATTTAAACCCTTACCTTCTTCAGAGATAGGTAATTGTTATTATTCCCTTTTTACAAATGATAAAACCCCGACATAGGAGAATTAAGATATTTACTCAAGCTCATGTAGATAATTTGTGGCAGAGTTTGAAATGCAACCAAAATCTCACCTTCCCATTTTCATATCTTGACCCAAAGACCATTTTTTTTCCAGTAAAGTCTAACTTTAGCTTTTCCTAAAATATGTATCACTGCTTTTACTATTTGTCTCAAATGGCATCCAGAGGGCTTGCAATTCTGTTTAAAAGCCCTTAATGTTAGTTGTTTTACTCTAAAACAAAGTTTATCAGTGGACTAAGAGCGTGTAGAAGAAACAAATGCATTTTGACATTCTTGAATGGATGTTTTCAGAGCAAGTTTCCTTAGCCAACTTCCTGCAATGTGTCAGGTCCAGTTCTCCCTCAGCAAAAAACCAACAGCAACAAGCCATCAATTCAAGAGCTGTTTTCCTTCAGCAGTGTCAGCCTGCCCCTTGGTCAGGGTTTATAGCCTGCAAAGGGTCTGCTGGGCTGTCTCCAGCCAATCTCAGTGTTGCCAAACTGTCTTTCAAACCTCGTGTTTTGGAAAACAGAAATATGTGGGAAGAAAATAATTTACTAAAGCAGAAGAGGTTCCTGGAGTAGCTGCCACACGCCATATGTGCGTGCAATAAATCAACGTGTGTTTTCTCTCTGCTTTGAACCCCACCGAGCAGTCAGCCAGTTCTGCCTCTTGACCCATTCTCCCTGCTAATCTTGCATTTCCTCATGCACTGCCCACACTTGCCTGGATGCTAAGATCGTCTTCATCAACTTAAATTTCATGATTGATGAAACAGAGAGGTAAAACAGAATATGTTACAACTCAAAAATATTCTTTCTAACCCTGGGTTAGGGATTCACTGCAGTCTGAATATATCTTCTTTGCACATGGATGACTACAATTGCAAAACATGTTCCAGAGGAGGCCTGACTGCTGTGTTGCCTTTCGTACTGTACACACCTCACTGACATATCCAAAGACTGCCCTTCTTGTAATAACTATCACATTTCTGATTCATAGGCTTGTAGTCACTTAGCACATGCAGGTCTTTGTCTTCCTCAGTTATTTTCAGCTAATCAATATCCAGTATATAACAGAAATTCGTGCTAATAATCCTGAAATATATGACTATGCACTTCATATTAGTTCATTTTTAAATCCATTTTTATTATTCTAGATGTTAAGATCATCAAATTACATGTGTGATATCCTCCATTGAAAATACTACTGACTTGGTGTCATAAGCAGATTTTATCTCATCAAATCTTTAATGAAATTTTTGCGTTACCCTGAAGGTCTTTCATGGGAAAATCCACTAATAAATTTCCTCCATCTCCTTTTATTTTAGCATAACCATTTACTATCCTTCCTTTAGCTAACAACCATCTTTATATTTCTTCTATTAATCCCTATTCTCAGCAGTTAAATAAATAATGTCCCCTGTGGCACCATTTCAAGTGATGTGCTGAATTATAGTTATTTGAAATATTCTTCACATCTTTTGTGTGAATAATCTATTCTTTGATGAAGGAAAGATGCTGCTTAGTCTGTCACATCTGTGGAATGTAAGACAAATAGGTCTGTATTGCCTACATCTTTATTTTCATTTTTTTAGTTCTTGATTTCAGCTGTTGGAGTTGTGCTGCAGTGGTAGTTTCAGCTTTGATACCTCTTCGTCAGTCTACTTTTGCCTCACAACCATATTCATTAATGCGAGGAGAGAAAACTGGGAAATTGTGCAGACATAGGGATGTGGCCCAGAAGACAGTGAGAAAAGAGGTATCTACCCCTGGTCATCCCTCTGGAGTTGTACAACTAAAGTTTCAGACGCCCTGTAATGGGAGATTTTCTTTCCTCCACGGTTGTGCTTCCGTTATCTCTATGACTGGGATGTATTTTTAACTCCCATCTTTGCATCCTTTGCAAGGTATGAAATCCTGGATTCATCTTTAACATTTCATGTTCCATTACTCTTGTGCTGGTCTAACAACCAAGTCATCTGGTCCAGGAGAAGATCCCACAGTCCCCTGCAAGCTCTGCTTATCCGATCAATTTTAGAACATGGTCAGAATTTATCCAGAGAGGATCCCGCAACCTTTGCTCAAAGTGCCAAGCACGAATCAGTCACATCTTGTCTCGACTACATCTTTCTTTTATGGTCATCCTAAATCTCTTCCTTCTAAACTTCAGGATGCCTGACTAGTTTCTCACTCCAGGGAGCAGTGGCATCACCTTCCTCTTCTGTCATTTTCATGACTTCTGTTCCCTTGCTCAAACCAAGTCAAAATTGACTTGACATTTGGATTTCAAGAAGGTTCATGGACTTATTACAGCTGATCATTACAGCCTGGTTTATCCTCATCTCCTTGCCCATTTTAGGCTGCCATTTAGGCTTTAGTGCACCCCCAGCCTCCTTTATTCTATGTACTTTTATTCCAAAAATATATGTTTTGATCCTTTCTATTCTTCTCCCACCTCTCTGTAAAAGATTGTTTATTGTATAGCTGACCTTGGCAATAAACTTCCCTATGATAAATTGTATGAAGATGCGATAAAAATACAGACTGTATACAGTTATTGGTGAGTGTTAAGAAAAAGAAATCATGGCTAATTGCTGAAAATGTATTTATTTCCTGTTGAATTATACAATGTATGCTGTCAGGGACACAGACTGCTGACATCACCCTGCTTGTGAGCAGGACAAGGAGGGATTTGAAGATGCTCTTCGAATTAAGATGAATCTCGTTCTTCCTAAAGAGGTCTGCCTAAATGCCATTAATTTCCAGTCTCGATTGGCTTTATTTCCACTGCAATTAGCTTTTGAATGGGACTTGTTTGAATATTCTGCAGCTGTTTCTTTTCTGGGGGAAAACAATGATAAAAATATCTTTTTTTTTTTCAAAATAAAACAGAAACAAACCTGTGACAGATTTTCACCTCCTTCTTTTCTCTCGTTAAATAATACCTGCTTATTGTGTCTGTCTGTCTGCCCTCCCACACTACCCTGAATCGCCAGCCTGTATGTGAGGAAAGAGCAATAATATTTGCTTTTCAGGGTTGAATGATCAAGTCACCTCTGGTGTCTGAATGCTATTACACAAGTGATAGTGCAGTGACATTTTCAGAGCGTGAGTGATCGTGTTTTTCTTTTATGACTACGGGATGCAAAGAATATAAATTCTGATAGTACTGCATGGACGTGACTTGGTGGGTTAGAACTAACATAATAAAGGTTTTGAAGATTATTTAGTAAATAGGTGTTATGAATTCTTAAGTAATTTACATTCTGCTTTATATTATGGCTTTCTAAACACAACTGGAATTTTTATGTATGTAAATAATATTTCTGCACAGCAGAGTTCATAATCGACCATTAATTATTGCTGCATCTTTAGCTCTAATGGCTTAAACTTTCCTTTTATGCTTTTAATGTGTGGATATGGTTATGCAGCATTGCTCGTTTTTATTTTTTATAGTAGAGGAGATTTCTCAGTCAAGACTGAGCCTCTGTTGTGCTGGGGGCTATACAAATACTTAAGAAGACACACACTTGGCACGGAAAGCTGCCAGATCTAATGGCCAGATTATTGACTGGACTGCAGTGTTCCTGAAGTTTGGAAACATGCTTTTTTTCATCCTGGCCGAAATTTAAATCAGAAGGCAATAAACCTATTTCCTGCCTTTTTGCACTGTGGACACAGGCTGCCTGGAACACAGAGCCCAGCTGGTTCCCGAGCTCACACAGCGCTAATCACCTCCTGAAGCAGGACCAAGGTTCAGATGCCTGAATCGAGACTAATCAAAGCAAATATTTTCTGAGCAAATTATTAGCTGCCCAAGAAATAAATATTTCCCTGTCTGTCTGGAGGCCTTTTGGTCATCAGTCTATTTTTCATTATTTTTTGGCATCCAGCTGTGATGCTGTTAGATTTCAGAGGCAGGGCTGGCCTATGCAAGGCATTAGATGGGAGACTTTCACAAGAGAGCTACATGTGCTTGAAAGACATAAAATGTCACCATTAAAATGTGGTACTAGAGTTGCTCTCTGCTTGCTCTGTGTGAAACCAACCTGCTTGTATAAATAAGAGACTTCCTTATTTATTCCTCCCAAATGCAGTTGGTCTGGCAACATTTTATAAGCACTAAATTTTGTTTGTTTCCAAAGAGAAAAAAAAAAGGAAAATTAATTCTTACTGCTTGTGCAAGCAAACATGTGCAGAGTGACTTTCGGATCTGCGATTAATGTTAGGTATCACGCTCAGAACTACTCTTTGGAAAGGTTAATCCAATAGAATTCCACAGACAGGGCTCCTTGATAAATAAATGAGTTGATTTATGTTAAGAAATCAGAATTACTTTGGACTAGCTGTAGAACACAAGAATTTATTTTTTGGCAAATAAAATCCTAAGTTATTTAAAATGGACACATATGTTTGTGGGTTTTTTTTCCAGCAGAATTTGTATAATATATTCAAGTTAAATTATTGGCTACTGCAGATCAAAAGCTTTGCTTATATCCAGAGTGCCTAACATACTAAAATCTGCTAAAATGCCAAGTAAACAATTGCTAAAAAGTGATGAGTACATTTGAATTCAGTCACGATTCTCTTAATGAATGTTTTGAGAGGGGTGTTTAAATGTGCATATGTGGATCCCTTTAAAATAAAAGAAAGTCACTGTTGTATGTGAGTCAAATGGGATTGAGACATACATACATCAGCATCATAGAATCGTAGAATGCTTAAGCTTGGAAGGGACCTCTAGAGGTCATCTAGTCCAACCCCATCATCACTGTAATAAAGTGCATCGATTTGACAAAATGGTGCTTAAAGAGCAGTAGATAAGAATACATTTATTATTGGCACCTATGTCCTCAAAGGGACCTCAGCTTCATCAGCAGCACCACCATGACCAAAAATATTATCGTTAAAATATTTAGGATTACTGCTCGTAGCAGAATAAGAGTAATAAATAGTTGCCCAGCCTGTATTATTTAGTCAGTTGAAATTCTTACTGCTGTCAATGGTACTTTTGCCAAAATAAGGATGATGATTTGACATTTACCTATTTAATGAAATAATTACATTTTGGCTTTTTTTTCAGAAAATTTGAAATAGTAATACTTGTTTTTTCAAAATGATAACATCCAGTTGTGTGAAGAGTGGCAATAGAAATGAGCCAACTTCATATCACCCCCATTTGAGATTTCTGGAGGTCGAGATTCAGTACTTTGATTCAGTCTTCATGAGCTCCTCCGCCTTTAGGATCTCCAAACTTAGGATTGGAGCTTGGATTGGAAGTTATCAGGTTGCTGATGAGGATGGCTGCTCTACCACCCAACTCTTCTTTACTACATACACACAGCATTGGCAAGTACCCAAGACAGCTGGGCACAATCAAAGAAAGAAGAACAGACCCAGATCTCCCATGTGAAGAATCCCATAAATTACCCACATAGTCCTTAGATATTGTTGCAATAATAAATTCTAATACTTTTTAAAATTAAACTGATGTAAATTCTGATTACATTTCTAATTGGTTAATAAGAATTAAGCTGCATCCTCATGATTTAAAAATAACTAAGTTTTTTTAATAAGTTTTTTTTTTAATTTCAGTGCCCGATAATAACATTTCTGAGTTGATGAAAAGTTACCTGGTGAGTGATGTGAACAACAGGCGGTTCCTCTGAGCATGGATAGGCTGGAGACATCCTCCTCCCGTTTTTAGTGAAATCTGTTAGTTCAGAAAGACTCAGCTGTAATTCACTGAAGCTCCCACAAAGTCTCTCTAGATTCTTAGATATGTGACTCATTCCTCTTTCACTTGGCAAATTGTTATTTTTAGAAGAACTTGGTGCTTCTTGGATCACGCTGAACTGCACTTTAGGAGAAGTTGGTCTGTTGGAAAGCCGGGTAGGTGTCCTGAAGCCAAGAAGAGCCACGGAGCGATTCATAGGTTCAGCATCCAAGGGTTCCAAGGCGAGCGAGGGGTCACCTGGGAGCCTTTTTTCATCCTGGTCACTCACGCTTGATGAGGAGCTCTGCTCATAACTAGGGCTCTTTACTTCTATGAGTCTTCTCCTGCCACTGGGAGACTGAATAACTGTGCTTCGTGGCATGAGCAGCTCCCTGCTTTGAGCTGGGTCTTCTGTGGCCAGATTTTCAAAGAACTTTCTTTTTCCAGGGATATTCACAGAGGATTCGTAGTTATAAAACATATTCTGGTTAGTCGCAGGCAATGCTGAAGAATCTTCTTCAAACATCAGTTCTTTGATCACTAGGCGCATTACGTACCGGTCTGAACTCGAGGATGGAATGAGACAAGGCTCGGGGAACTTTTGTTTTCCAATCAGAACCAGGAGGAGTTTATCAGTCAAAAAGCATAAGCCCTTTGGCCTTTCATTTTTGTCCAGCTGGATTTGTTGAATATGAGGCATGCAAGAAGAGGTTACTGAGTACACCAGAACAATATTGGAAGTGTTAGAGGCTACAGCAACAATCTGAGCTCGAAGATCAAAAGCCATTATATCAGGAACCACAATGCCTGGGATAGTGACTTTCCTGGTGGTGGTGACCTTCCTCTCAAAAGTCACCAAGATCAGGTAGGAGGAATCCTGACCATTTGTCGCTGTGTAGTCCTTGCGTTTCAGAGTAATCAGAGACCCGGGGTCAGACTTCCGATGGTTTGCAAGCATATTGGTCAAATCCACAGGACCCGACGAAGAAGATGCTACCGAATCCACGGTGAGTGATCTGTCTGAATCCGTAGACTTCCTTCGCAGGTCCATGGAGAATTCCTCGTCACCAAGCACCAGAGCAGACTGTGAGAGTAAAGAACCGGTTTCAGCACCCGATGGCACGTCAAAGGCAATGCCTGCATTCAAACCACAGAGCTTATCTAAAGGCAGCTCAGTAGCTACAGCAATTTGGAAATCCAGCGTGGCTTCTATAGCACAGATGTAACCTCCCACATCAAATACTGGGCAGAAGGAGCAGGCATTTAGAGCTTTCTGTGCATCATCCCATATATAGGAATGGAGGGCACTGCCTATAGCAACTACTAAACGGTTGCCATCCTTAGTCCAGCAGGCACAGTGGATAAGCCCACTGCTCTTGATATCTGCTTTAACCCTGGTGTTGTCAGAACGAACAGTGTGCAGGACTGAAGCATCTCTTTTCGTGAGCACCGCCAGCACCTCCTTCTTTGGATGCCACACGCAGCCCTGGGAAAGCAGCGGGAATGGCTCCCCGACCTCGCAGGTCTGGGAAATCAGGGGTTTGTTCTTCTCCGCAGTGCTGTAGCCCAGCTGCCAAATGCTAACGTGCTTCTTGTGCTGGACAGCCAGCAACGCTGGGATGTCTGGAGAGCAGCACGGGCCCCAGTAAAGCCCATGCACATGTTCAAATTGCCCAACGACACTCGAGTCTCCAAACTTTAGTTCTCCGTGGTGGTAGTAGAGAGCAGTCAGCACCACTTGCTTCCCATCCGTCCAGGCAATTCCGTGCACGGGGTGGATGGCCTGATACAAAGCGTTAAGGCCAGTTCTCAGCAGTTTCGCCTTTCCCAGCTCCATCTTTTTAAGCTTTCTGTCTACTGGTGATTATTCCAAAGGAGAGAAGCCATGCAATTCACTTGAAGATCATGCTGAGGAAAAAATGTTTTTGGGTTCCTTCCCTTCCTTCCCAGAATCAAACTGTTTTTTTCTGCTGTTACTCCAAGAGCCTATACTGTGAGCTCCCTCTTAGTCAACCTGCAGCTGCTCTTTTAGGTCTAAATCCATTTGAAAGCTGCTTTTGCAGTGTCTTCCCTGGGAGGAGTTACCATCCTCATGTGATGGCTAACAAGGTTTAACTAATTACTGTGCATTTTCGTAGAAGGCTATTTTTAACTCTTTGCTGCTGGGAGTATATTTAAAAATAACACGCTAATACCTTGACCTTCGGTGAATGAAGGTCTTCTTTGGTGAACGTAGCAGAGAGATCATTTGCTGTCAAGCCTGGGTATTAAGCTACAGCCTGAAATAATGACCTGACACTTCTCTCAGCCCAGCCTTTGAAGGGTAAAAGAAGATTTAAACATATCCGAGAACTGTACAAGGCAGATTGCAATCTTTGATGGACAGCACCTTTCAAAGATACAAGAACCTAAGTGAATACTGAAAGGAAAGTCGGAAAGGGAAATCATACTCTATTCTGTCACTACTTACAGGAGAATGAAAGAAGATAAGATTTAAAAAAAGCAAAATATTCTGGAAGCACAGGCAGCTGACTAGAGTTCGTTTTACTGGGTCAGATTTCCCAGCTGCAAGTATATATTGAATTCTTTCTTTGGCTTCCCAGCCACCTCTGGCAGAGGGCTGTTTCCTCATCATAGAGCCTATAGTCCAAATTGCAAAGAGGAAGCCAAAGTTTTCCCAAACTCTGATGATGATAAAATTATGCAAAGATCCCTGAAATAGTAAAACCCACAAATAACAGAGGTAACAGTGTGGCAGTGTGCGGACACACCAATTTGCTTCAGCTCTTGTTGTTTCAGGACCGGAGCTGGTTCAATGGAAAACCTTGGGTGTCTTCATTCTGCCCTCCTCAGCACATCCTTTTCTGGGGTTTGTTTGGGCACAGTCTGGATATCACTGAAAATGAATATTCAGGGTGCTTAGCTATAAACAAACATTATTACAATAAACACACTAGGATATCTGAGATATCCATACAGGTCTGGCAGACACAGCATAAAACTTACAGAAACATAGTGGCATGTTCCTATAGCAGCCAGAAAGAGCAGCGGGTAACAAGGAAGGCAGCCCTAGGTAACCCCTAGGCTACCTAAAATGGCATTAGATGCCAATAACTAGGCAACTTAATCCCATCCTCAGCATCGTTTTATAATTTTTGTTTGCTGGGATCTCCTTTCTACCCTTGTGCATCTTTATGAACCTTGTGTCTTTTGCTGTTTACACACTAATGTGGATAAATTTCACCTGGGCAGAAAAGGCCTTCAAAGGATAAGTATAAGCATGTTTAAAGATGTAAGACTTAACTGTAGGCATCCTGCATCTTTACTGATTTATACCCCATATGTATATTATAGCAGTACCTGGGAATAGCAGGCCTTTTCCTCAAGGCTGTTCAACCACTGTTGTAAGAAATTTTTTAGTATCCTCTTTTGAGGTATATTTATTGAGGATGGTAAGCACTACCAAGTAACTCCCAGATTTGTGTAATGTACTCATATCATATCCTCCTTCACAACTACTTGTTTCTTGTAGATTATTTCATGAAGATTATTTCATGTAGATTATTTCATTATTTCATTTAAAATCAAAACTATTTTACCTTCATCAAAGACAGTGCCTTCATCAAAACAGTGATGATTGGAACAGATGAAAATTAAAATGCTAAATATACAGGCTAGAAGATCACTTCCTATACAAGATTTGTGATTTTTTTTGTCTTTTTCTATGCTTGGAGGCAAACTACTAATTACTAACTACTTTTTACTAATTTTACTTTGCAGATTACAGACACAGGTGCTCAGGTCACACTGAAGATGCTGCACTGCCATAGCTATTAGACTAGGAACTTGGACAATTCTGTTCTTCCACAAAGGGGCAACAGGATTATTCTGTCGTATGTGGAGACGTCTTTTCTTATGCATAGTAATGAATAAATACTGAAATTATCTTAAAATACAATCCCAGCAGCTCCACGAATTTGTAAAGTCAGTATAAGATATTTTTGGTTTGCTTTCAATTAACGCTGGTTAACTGCTTGGCTGTCTTCTGAATCTATTTTCCTAACACTGATGAAGTTATTCTTTAGCACAGTCATCTCATCTACATTCTCAATGGCACTTTAAATATCAAAAAAAAAAAAAACCCTATGATGCAGTTTAACAACTTAAAATGGTTTTGGATGCATAAACTTCTGCCTCAGTATGACTGAAACATTCAAATGATGTTTTGCTAAAGATGATGCTTGTTCTGCCAGACGTCTTGGTCTGCTCGTGGAATATTGGACTCTCTTTGCTGTTTTTTAATTTCATCATCTCTCATAGCATGTATCTACTCAGCAGTGTCTGTGACATTAAGAGGGGGAGATACAGGACAGAATCTGTGATATTTGCCTCAGAAGATCATCCTCAGTTCTGGAAGCAAGAATGTCTCACAGACTCTGAAACATTGAAAAATACTTGCAAGAGAGTCATAATGACCTTTTCTTCTAGCTATGAAAGTGTTAGGAAAAAGGGCTTAGTCTGATGTGCTTATGTTTATTTCTGACTAACTCTCCAAGATGCTCAGAAATGAAAATGATAATATCCATGAAGTTTCACGGAGATGGTGGTGAGGTTACTCTGGAGCCACATGATCCCCTGGTTCCATAAAGAGGTGGCTCTTCATTGCCCAGTGCCAAGATCCCTTTTTTACTCAAATCTATCACTTTGCTTTCACTAAGCCAGTTCACCTTCTGTTTACTATCATGGTGCATCTTTACATCTTGTGGTGGATTTTTTAGAGAAAATTGGAAGAGAATCAGTAAAGATACTTAGTAGATGCAGAGTTACACAGTTCATTTAAGTCAAAGGGTAGATTCAGAGGTCCCTGATTGCAGAGGATCTTTGTATACAGCTTCAAGTGTGAGCTGAGGCCTGCAGAGAAGCCAGACTCGTGGAGAGACACAGAATAGTTGGACGTGGCCTTTTTTTAGCTCTATATAGCTCTGCTTTCCTTGGAATCTGCAGAGTTTGGACAAGCCACAAGACCTATTTTGTAGCAGTTGAGTTTGAACCCTAGGCAATATTGGAATAGCATTTGAGGATATAAGGGAATAGTTATTCCCATGCTTCATTTTTCCACTGGGAAGGAGCAGTGTGGGCAAGAGATTTCCATGCCAAGTAGATAATCTGGTACCTTCATAAACACCATTGATGGAGGACCTAATTTAAGATAAGATCAACTCTTAGGCTTTATCTTAAAAAAATATGTTAACAATGCAAGACTTCCAAAACGTTGTATAAAAAAAAAGAGAGAAAAAACATAACTTATGTTTTGATGCAGAACTTTGATTGCAAGTTACACTGTGAATCACATCAAGTTCCATATGGAGGCACAAGGCAAATGAAAGAATGACCTTTTGTTTGGCTCAGCTTCCTTTTTTAAAAACAGGATAAAGGCAGAGGGGGAAAAGCAGGTTCGGCTCACTCAGCTAGCATATCATTCTGTAAACTGGTAAAACATTTAAGTAATAATTTTATGTGACCTTGTCCTAGTTCTATATAGCACGTACATGCAAAATAATGACTTGTAATTGAGAACTGTCAAGGCAACGCTACTGTTTTCCTTTAAGACCTGACTAAGACAGCAATGAGAAGAAGAATCTGTGAGTAATCGGAGATGCTCCAGTGACAGACCACAGTCTTTACACCACTAATGAGCTAGATCCTGATCCCGTTAACATCCCTGTGGCCTCTGGTTCACTTCGGCACAGCCGGGTCCAGAATTTACCAGTTTAAACAGTGGTTTAAACAGTAGTTCAGCTGATGGCACCTTGGCTGGATCTGTCCTGTAGAATGATTGGAGGGTTTTATTTGCTTTTGTACTTGCATACTGTTCACCTGTCTTGGGAAATGGAGAATTGCTTTTGTATCTAATATGAATCAGAGCTAATGAGAGTCTTAGATGTATTTACCTGCCTATTTCCCACTGAACACAGTAGGACTTAGGTAACTAAGTTTTTGTGTGGATCTGAATTCAGTGCCTTGCTTTAAAAACAGAGATTCAGACTTAGTTTTCTTTTTTTCTGTGAGTATGTGCTAAAATAATTCTTTCTGAGCTAAATCTCACTTCAAATTAATTACATTGATGATAATATTCCTGGGACTTAAACAGAAAACAGATCCAGCTCAACAGGTAATAAAAACCTCAGAGTAATAATTTTCCTAAGAGTAACTCAGATTTCTAAAACAACAAATGTTTTGTGATATATTTACTTCAATCTTTCCATATTATTTCTATTTGAAGCTACCTACCAAGACTTCGACAGTTTTAGTTGATATACCATTTAGTTCAATCCCTTCAAGAAGCCTGAGTAACATATTTATTTTTCCACACTGACATTTCTTTGCCTTGAGATCTGATGGAAAAAAATAGTTATCTGTCACAAGCTAACTGGAACAGAATGTGAAAATGATGCACAGCTAATAAAGCTACAAAATATGCAATCTGTCAGAGCAGATCCACTGATCACACCGTCCGTGTAAACCAGCTTTCTCCTGACGGTGATGTGTCTGCGTGCTGCTACTGCTCGCAGAGCAAGACTGAACCCACGGCTCAACAAGTAGGGTGGGAAAGATCTAACAGCAGATTGGAATTTTTAACATAAATGTATGCAAGCAATCTGTTAAGTAGTTTAGCTATTAAAAAATATATAGAGAAGTAAAGCCTCATCTTTTTGATGCTATATGCAACCTAAGGAGAGTCTAGACTGAAAGCCACAGCTTCCCTCTTAAGATTATTTCTTCTGCACTTGGTGGCCCACAGTCTTACCCGTCTGCAGGCCCAGGTGTCACTGGCCA